TATATATATATATATATATTATGAAAAACTCAAAGGTATTTTTTCACTCAAATCTATTGAATAATCAATAATTTCCTTAAGTTGTTGATATTTTCCACAGTTAGCTCTTAAGACACATTTTGCTTTAGATGCACTCATGTAGGATAATGCTGAAACATTCATGAAGCAATGAAGTTGACTGCAAATAAGAGGCACTGTAACACCATAATTTCATTTAATTATTTCATTATTGCTTACTGGTTAGACATGTACAATAGCTTTTATTAAAATCTACAACTTTTATGTTAATATGTCCTTCATATAAAAAAAGTTAATTAAAATTAGACTTTTCAAATAGAACTAAACTTTTTTGTTTTCAATCTGCCTTTCATGTTTTATATTTCGTAAATAGAAAGAATGAGATGCAAATGAATTTTCCTGCTGCCACCTCACTCATTTTTTTTCTAAATTTGAAATTAATTTGGCATGACGGTGTCATACAATAAATACACTGTCAGGGTTTGAGGTTTACAACAATTACTTTGACGATGGAAGGAGAGTAAGCTAATCAATGTGGAAGGGGCTGAATATGCCTTAGAAGAACAAAAGCTGACATCTTGGGACTGGAAAGATACACATCATGATGTCTTAATATTCATGTACACAGCAATAATCATAGATCAGACAAGGTGCAACTGTAACCCTGTTCCAACCTGGTCTACCCAGCTGCAGCAGGAGTCTGAGCCTCGTGCTGCTTTTCAGTGACAAAAGAAGCAGTGGAAAATAAAACGCACCAGAAAAGCACAAAAATGTAAATGAATGAAATAAATGTTTATCATCTTTGTTCTGCTTTGTGCTGCATGAACATGCCACGTAACCAGCACGAGCAAATGGAGGCAACGTCTCTAAGCAACCTCCCTCTGGCTGCAGACGTCACACAACTGCCCACAGATTTGTGGCTGCGGGCCTCATTACATGCGTTTAACTTTCCTGCAAGCCATGCTCCTCTCCATCTGACAGACTCCACACAGAGCCAAGAACTGGACCCTCGCACCGCTCCACCGTGCTGCAGAAGATTTCAGAACCATGGACAGCTTCCATCTGCCACATACTGACGCTGACTGCAGGTGCACGCACAGAAATACACAAGGCTCTCTTTATCAAATCAGATTTGCAAGATGAGATTAACAGCGGGGGGGCGGGGGTCTCTAATGTCAGTGTCTATCTCTCATTTCCAGCCCTGCGAGGGGGGGGTCGTTTCTGGTTTCTCTCTGTGCAAAGAACAACTCGCTCAATTAGTCCCCAGCACTCATCTCCAATGGAGACCAGTCTCTCACCTAACACCCCCCCACCCACACACACACACACACACAACACACACACACACACACACACACACACTGATCAGAGGCTCCACGTTTAGCACCTGGAGCTCAGGTTGCCCACCAGCAGAATCCAATATGAGCCATTTAGCTGGGTGTGATGAGATCAGTTGCTCGGCTGTTTATTGTGTCGGCTTCATCTAGGCCATCTCAGTCAATGAAAGTATTGTTCAGAGGAGTAGGGGATGAGCACGTGTCTTCCACTGGAGCTGCTTGGTTTTCAGAATGTGACTGTCATTTGAGCCCACTGTGCAGGTGTCACTGTTAGCCTAAACACCGGGGGGTGGGGGGGTGGACAGGGAGGCGTTGTGATGACAGTGTTATAACGCTTGCATTTGTGAAATGAAATGTTCCTTGCCTCAGACAGTAACGGTTCGGGTTGCGGGGTGCGTGGAGAGGCAGTTTCCACAGAAAAAACACGTTGCTTTGTTTGTAGTTGTTTAATTTTGTACATTTTCTCCACAGAACATCATTCGAAAAATAACTCACTGTTTGCTCACACCTCGCTGAAGTTTCAATGATTTGACCCACCTGGAAACTTCACCAAACCTTTTCAAGACCTCCAAACCACCAAACTCCCCCAGCTGAGGGAAAAATTACGTTTCTGCTAAGTTGAAACGTAAAACTTTTCCCGCAACAAGGCATTTTGCCTTCCCAGCCCCCTTGCTTAAACCTTTACCACCTCTCTGGATCCACCACTGGCCTCAGATAAAAGAACTGTTTCTTAGGAGGTGATCAGCTGTAAAAAAGGCTTTGATCCAAACAAAGGCCTCCTTTGTCCCAGGACGTGTTTTTTTCCTGTTCCTACCTAATTTGTTCCACTTTCTTTATCTTAAGGGATCTCCTTCTCTCCTTCTGCAAATAATAATAATAAATAATAAATAAACAAATAACCCTAACCCCTAACTAATAAATAAATAAATAAATAAATAAATAAATAGCAGCGTCTCCCCCTCCATGAAAGAGAGGGAAGATTTCGGTCTTGATGTTATTTTTTATTGCGCCTTTGTGTTAATTGCGCACACACGCACGCACACACGCACACTTCCTTTCGCCGTAGTTTCCGTTGTCGTGGAAACTGCGGGAGGAGGAGAGCCATCGGCGCGCATCTCTTCCTCTCCTCAGGCTCTCAGAAAGACTTGTAGGGAAAAATCAGGTGAAGACCAGCAGCCGATTTCACATTGAGGCTGGCAGTGTCTTTTTTTTTTTTTTTTGTGATGTGGTGGGTGGATGGGTGATGTGTGTGTGTGTGGTGGTGGTGGTGGGGGGGGGGTGTATTTTACGCACTCCGCGACAAAGAGACACGGTGACAAGGCGCCATAATCACCAAGTGACTTAATATTACACCATCAGTTAAAAGCGGGCGACCTGTCAGCACACAACGGACTGTAATTCACAAAAACACAAGGTTTGTGTTGGTGAGTGTTTGCGGAAGAGCGAGGCAAAGATGATGGGATCCGAAGATGTCGGTCAGGTTTGATCTTTAGCTACAAAAAAGAGCAGGTCGAATTATCAACAGGGTAGACATGGGGGGGGGGGCGTGATGACATGTAGCAGCGGAGCGCAGAGGGGGTAATGAGGTGTAGAAGACATTCGATTAAAAGGATTGATTGCGAGTGTGTTTTTCAAATCAAACTTACAGTAAGTGTGTATAAGTGCGTGTGTGTGTGTGTGGTCCTACCTTGCAGCTAAACTGGCTGAGTGCGGTCAGAACCATCGTGTCCGGACGAGACTTCACCCAGCTGCCGGGCTTCTCGTAACCAAACATTCACAGATGGAGTCAGGAGCTCCTCAGTCTGTCCGCTGCTGCTGCGCCTGACTGTTGCGCTCCGTCTTACCAGCCTCCTCACCTCTGACGTAGCATCGCGATGTTTGAAGCTGCAGCTCCCCCTTCCTCACACTCCTCCATTCACACACCGTTCCCTCTACCCTCCGGTTCAATTCCAGGCGTTTAATTTACGCGCGCGCAGCCGTTTATGTTTGTTTGCGTGGGACTCAGCAGGGATGTTAGGAGCGCAGCACGAACCCCTCCGCCCTTAAAAAATAAATAACCCATAGCCTCTGCACGCGCGGTGTAATGGAGCAAAACAAATGGCAAAACGAAAATTAAATAAATGAAAGTCTTACTCCAGCGTGCTTAGAAACAATAAATAAAAATAGGAGCAAATAAAATGACTTCTTACCAACAGGAGTTTTGGAGCTGATGCAGCCCATTCCCTTGTAGAGCCCCACCTTTAGAAGTACAGTCTATCACATTTCCTCCCCCAGTGTGTAAAGAGACACTGAGAGTACCTCTCTGATGGAACAGCTCTGCTCCTCTGCGGTTCTGCTGCGCCTCAAACAGCCCGACCCAAGCGCAGAGCGGAGGGGGAGAGTCCGGCCATCACTTCAGGTCCCTGCTGTTGGTTCTGTCTTTAGTTTTCGTCGCTCGTCTCCAAATCCATGCATGCAAAGGTTTCAGCGCAGCTTTTGTTTGCGTTCTTGCCGAGCTGCTGAGGTCCTCATGCCCTGCGTCACAGGACGCGGGGGGGGGGGGGGGGTGTAATTCAGCACCTCGGAGGACGGACAGCGCGCCGTCTGCTGCCTGCAGCGTGGGGGTTGCAGGTGCGGGGAGGGAGACAAGGGGAAGTCCCACCACTGAGGGGGTCCCACTTTCTGGACACGGATCTCCTTCCTGTTCCTGTCCCCTGCACGCGCTCTTCTGACCCGCGCGGCACGCAAGTCGGAGCTTAAGCCACATTGATCCGAACCCGCTTTTATACCACCAGCGCCTGGGTCCCCGCCCCTGCATGCACCCCACCCCCCACAACACCCCACAACCACCCCTCCACCGGGAGGAAGCGGAATGAGATGCGATTGGCTCGTGGCGCCTTGCGGATGCGGTGGGAGGAAGGAGCTCAAGTAGGAGCAGGTTGGTATTTTAAGAATTGAGTTTCCTGTCCATCAGTTAGACAGAAACAGAGGGGAAAAGAAAAAAAACACAGACCTGCTTCTTAAGAAAATCACACTTTTTAAATTAAATGCCCCTTGAAATCACATTTTTAGGAATTTATGTCGTCTTTTGTTTTTTATACTTTCTCTGATACGACTTGGAGGCAGGGTGAACCCAATTGCAGGCAGGCAGATTTCAAAAATCAAAAAGTACAAGGCCTTTAATGAAAAAACTCAAGGAGGACAGCAAAAACTCACTAGACTTGGAATTAGACGAAGAACATGAAGTAGGACACGACCAGGTGGACAGCACAATGATCCGACACAAGACTGAGACAGGACAGGGCTTAAATACACAGACAACAATTACAAAACAGAAAACACCTGAGGAGAAACATGAGGATCAGGTGTGAGTGGGTGGGGCTGGAGCAAGGGCAAGACAGGAGGAAGGAAACATGAACATGACAGAAACTAAAAATAAAAACACTTAACACAGACAAAAATCACAACATTCTCTCCAAACAGTCATTTCAGATACCGCATAGCGGTAACATAATGACTCCCGCACGCACAAATGCACCAGAACTCAGAAGTCTTTATTCCAAATAAATGTGATGCTACTAGATGCATCCCAAATTTGTAGTGGTTTGGGTGGGGGATGGGCGTTGGACCTGATGGATAGCCCCTCATCAGAGCTAAACAACAAAAGAAATATGAAGCTCCTATGTTTAATAGTTTTTGAGCTATAACCATTTTTGAATGTCCAGATACCCCTTTTGTTAGATAAATTGGGGGTCCGGGGTGGGGGGAGGACTGATTGGTGGGCCTGATGGATAGAGCTTCATCAGACCTAAACAACCAAAAATCTTAAGCTTCTATGTTGAACAGTTTCTGAGTTATAAGCATTTTTGTATATCCAGACACCCCTTTTACAGATAAATTGGGGGTCCGGGGGGGACACTGCTTGGTGGGCCTGATGGATAGCCCCTCATCAGAGCTAAATAACAGAAGAAATCTGAAGCTCCTATGTTTAATAGTTTTTGAGTTATAACCATTTTTGAATGTCCAGATACCCCCTTTTCAGATAAATTGGAGGTCCAGAGTGGTCGGGGGCACTGATTGGTGGGCCTGATGGATAGCCCCTCATCAGAGCTAAACAACAGAAGAAATCTGAAGCTCCTATGTTTAATAGTTTTTGAGTTATAACCATTTTTGAATGTCCAGATACCCCCTTTTCAGATAAATTGGAGGTCCAGAGTGGTCGGGGGCACTGATTGGTGGGCCTGGTGGACAAAGCTTCATCAGAGCTAAAGAAAAAAAGCTGAAGCTTCTATGTTGAATACTTTCTGATTTATAAGCACTTTTTGCATGTCCATACACCCCCATTTTGAAAGGAGCCCCCTCCTCACATATGGGG